GTGTTCTTTTCTACTTTATAAGTCTTCATATGTTAGCTGGATTTTCATGATTTGATTCTTCATAGATGGATTGTTTTAATTTTTCCATCTAATTATTTTAGTTTAGTTTAGTTTTTGTGTGTGTGTGTGTTTTTTTTTTTTTGGAAACTAAACTCCAAGTAATGGACTATAAAATAATTGTGCCTAATGTCATACTTTGTACATTCTGTCCAAGTCCAACATTTATTAAATGGGCCTAGTTTGTCTGAGGCCTCTATTAGTTTGTTAGTTTGTTACCATTACCTCAGGAAATGAACATATATAGTCCAGTGAAATGTATACTTGTATGATTGGCTTAAAGTTAGTACTTAAAGTTAGTATACTTATATGTATTTAAAATGTATACTTGTATGATTGGCTTAAAGTTGGCTTAAAGTTAGTACTTAAAATGTATGATTGGCTTAAAGTTAGTACTTAAAATGTATGATTGGCTTAAAGTTGGCTTAAAGTTAGTACTTAAAATGTACACATATGTCAGTCACATGAGACAATGCATGCTTAATTGCTCACTATTAGTAGAATCTGTCACTTAATTTGGTACTTATAAATGCTGTTTTTTTTTTTTGTTTCAGTCATGTCTCGCGAGTATGATGAATTTGACTATGAGAGGCAATCAAATTTTGATACTGTTAGCTCTCAAGCTGCCTCTGCCCCGGTTGATGATGCTAGTGATACCGGCATTATCACTACTTCTGTTAATAAACGTCAAAGAATCGCATGTATATGGAAGCATTACACTTTTTTGTAAAGACGATAGGTAATGAAAAGGTAGATTATGCTCGTTGTAATTTGTGTGGCAAAGAATATAAAGCACCTGGTAAAGCGGGTACTTCAACTTGTAGAGCTCATATTAATGCATGTTTGGAAAAGCATGGTCTCCAGCCCGATAAAGAATCACAATTTGATCAAAAAAACTTATTTACAAAAGTTTGCTAAAGCTATAATATGCCATGCATATCCTTTAAAAATTGTAGAGCATGAATATCTTAGGGAACTTCATGCATATTTGAATCCTAAGGTGCAGCATGTTTGTAGAAAAACTATGTTAAAGTATGTTATTGCTGAGCATGATAAATATAAATCCTTGTTGCATGAGTCTTTGGCTAATGTTTCTGGTAGAGTTAGCTTTACATGTGACTTGTGGACTGCATGCACTAACCGAGGCTATCTCACTTTGACTGCTCATTATGTTGATAACAGTTGGTCTCTTAGGTCTAAAATTTTAAATTTTAGATATTGTGGCCCTCCCCATACTGGTGTTGAGGTTGGAAAGTTTGTGTTTAAACTGATTAAAGAGTGGAATCTTCAAGGGAAGGTTTTTTCAATAACTGTTGATAATGCTCGTTCTATGAATGTTATGGTTGAATATTTGATAAAAGAATTAATGCTATGTTCTCCTCTACCTTGTAATGGTAAATTCTTTCATGTTCGATGTTCAGCTCATGTTTTAAATTTTATTGTTCAAAGAGGTTTAAAAGAAGTTCATGAAAGTGTTGAAAAATTGCGTGAGGTTGTTAAATATATTGATGCTTCTGATTCTAGATTAACTCAATTTAAGAATGCTTTGTCTGAGGAGACTCTGCTTTTAATGGTAAGTTATGTCTCGATGTTGTGACTCGTTGGAATGCCACTTATACAATGCTCCGAAAAGCCTTAGAAGCTAAGGATGCCTTGATTCTATATACTAGTAGGTTTTTGGGTATTTCTTATAGACTTGATGCTGATGAATGGGATACCATTCAAAAACTTTGTGATTTCCTTCAGCCATTTAATGATATAACTGTGTTATTTTCTAGTACCGAATATCCCACTTCTAATTTGTATTTTGTTAGTGTTTTAAAAATTGAGTACGCTATTACTCAAGCCTTTAAAGACCCTAAACTTGCACCCATGGCAGCAGTTATGCTTGAGAAGTTTGAGAGTTATTGGGAGGATTATAGTTTGATTCTTTCAGTTGCTATTGCTCTTGATCCTCGTTATAAGTTGTTTTGAGTGAGACATATGTTGAACTCGTTGTATAATGATGAGGCATGCGACGAAAAGATTATGATGATTAAGGAAGCTTTTTATGACCTTTATAAATTTTATTCTACTGCATCTAATACAAGCTGCAGAAATCCTGCCTCTTCAAACACAGCTCAATCTGAAAATTCTAATCGCACGTTGAGTTCTCAAAATATGTTCACGGTATTTATGTTATACAATATACTCAATATTAATGGTAGTCTTCTATTTTTATTTGTAATGTCATAATTTAACTTTTAATCTGTTTCAGTTGCGTGAGGTTGATGACGAATGTGATGATTCAACTAGATGCCCTCTGGCTGATCTTGAGGTATATTTGAATGGACCTCATTCGCGATTAATTCAAGGGGAACATTTTGACGTTCTCAAGTATTGGGAATCTCAAGCTTCTTCTCTTCCTATTTTAGCTAATATGGCAAGGGATGTTTTGGCCATTCCTATTACATCGGTGGCTTCTGAATCTTCTTTTAGTTTGGGTGGTCGTATTTTGAACAAATATAGGGGTAAACTTTTTCCAAAGAATGTTGAGGCATTGGTTACCACCCAAAATTGGTGCTGTGGTTATCAAGCGGATGTTGAGGAAGACGTCCTCCTTATTGGTAAAGAGATTGAAGCCGAAAGTGCTTCATCTACATAACTGATATTTGTGTCTCATTGTGGTTTATTTTATCTTGAAAAATCGTTGCCCTTGTCATTTATTTTCAGACTTGCTGGCAGCATTTTTCAAGACTTAAGTTAAAATCGTTGCCCTTGTCATTTATGTTGATTGTTGAGACTTAAATGTATTTTGGTACTTGCTGGCAGCATTTCTCAAGTTTTTGTTAAAACAACCATTGCTCAGTGATGTAAATCTGAGAGCAATTTTAAAAAACAAAAGCTATAATTTTGAAGTTGCTTGAACTTGTTATGAGCTGGTGCCTGCTGGTAGTGCTTTTGCCTTTTGGTTGTTGTCTCTGCTGAGTTGTTATTGCCTATATTGTTGCCTGCATGAGCTGGTTCCTGCCTCCTGCCAGCTTGAGGTGCTGTGTTGCTGCCTTTTGTGTTATGAATTTATGATAAGTTTTGTTGCTGCTGTTTCTTATGCTTGCTGTTTTAATTTTTCTTGAATCATCGTTGCCCTTGTCATTTATGTTGAGACTTCAATGTATATGTACTTGCTGGCAGCATTTTTCAAGTTTTAAGTTAAAACAGCCATTGCTCAGTGATGATACGATAAACGTAAATCTGAGAGCAATTTTGAAAAACAAAAATAAGTTCCTGCTGAGTCCCTTCTTCCTATATTCTTGGAGGTATGCTTGGAACTGATTTATATAGTTAATTAATTCTTCTAGTATCTGGAAAACAAAATATGAAACCCTCATTATATCTATAACGGAGGTCATGTTAATGTTATTTCAAAATTGTCATTGAACCTCTTAGAAGTGGATCCATCTGATATTGTTGCTTTACATATTTTGCAGTCATTTATTCTCACCTTCTTGGCTGAATGGGGGGATCGTAGTCAGATTGCTACAATTGCTGTAAGCCATTTGGTCTGCACTTCAGTAGTTGTGGTGGGAGGAAGCATGTTGGCGTCCAGGATCTCGCAACGCACAGTCGCCACCGTCGGTGGCTTCCTCTTTTTAGGATTCTCCTTATCATCATACTTCTATCCTCCACTATAGTACAAACTTATGAATTTGTTGGCTACCCTCATTCATGTAATGTCATCATGTCACTAAAAATTCTTTTCTTTCCTTCTCTCTATTCAGAATCTCCTTTACAGTATTTCCTTTTTAAAAAAAAAAGATATAGTAGTATACTAGTATACTAGTATGTTAGCTTTCCTTTTAACGTCTGTTAGGGGTGTAAAATTTTTTATCATGTAAAGGAAGGGAAAGTTTCCCATTTTCTTCTACCATAAGTTTCAAATCTAGTTATTCTCATGCAGTTTTATAAACATTTTAGTCCTCCCTTTACAAAATACGTGTATAAGAAAGTTTTATAAAGTGATAATGTGAATGATTGTACGCCTTATTGACTAGTACAGTAATATACTAATATTCTAATGCTTATGCCACTTGTGTAACGCAATCTCATACATCTCCAATCTTATGTTACCTTTGAGTGTTATTGGATGATCATGAATATCTTTATGAAGGAACAATGAAGATAATTTGGGTGGACTAGCATTATTACTGGAATGAAAATGATACAAATGATATATCTTGTAATTAAAATAAATAAGTAATCTAAAACGATATTAATAATGTCGTTGGACTAGATCTAGGTGATATAAACCTTTGTATAAACCTAAGCCGTTTGATTAGATCTACATTTATTAACATTAATTGTATTTACTATTTAGCCATTTAGGTTGTAAATAATTCAATTTGAATTAAGCAGTTTGTAATCGGATCAGTTTAAACAGGTTGTGATTCGAAAACAGTTCGATTTTAACGGTTTAACGGGTTATGGCAGTTTAGTTTAGACGGTTAGCGGATTATAATGGTTCGGTTTATACAATTTTTCCTGCGGTTTAAACGGTTTCGGTTCATAAACGGGTCGGTTTAAACGGTTAGTGGGTTACAAATGGTTCGGTTTAAACGGTTTTTTTTACAGTTTAAACGGTTTCGGTTTATAAACGGTTCGGGTCATTAACGGGTTTATAAATCATTCGGTTCGGTTTCGTTTCGGTTCGGATTTGAGCAGTTTGGTTTGTTATCGGTTTACGGTCCGTAACGGGTTGACATTGAGTGGTTCGATTCGATTTCGGTTTGATATTGAACGGTTCAGTTCGATTTTCGGTTTAAATTTATCGGTTTATAAACGGATCGGTCCGTGATGGTTCGGTTCGGTAACGGGCGGTTTCACGGTTCGGTTTGAAAAGTCCCACCCCTATGTACAACTCCTATCATAGTGACAAATTTCACATCCCTTGATAAAATCTTGAAGTCTGGCTAATCTAAGTTAATTAGAAGCACATATGAATTGAGTGGTTGGTAAGATAAAATTCAAGCCTTTCCTTTCTAAGAAAACTCGTGTGCACTTGAAGCTTCCTCGATTCCTTCCAATCCAAAATTCCCAAAATTATTATATTCAAAATTCTCAAAATCGAATTTTTTGACTCATTTCTAGCACTGGGATACATTGAATTCAACAATTAGGGTTTATATTTTTCTGGTTGATGCTTGTGGTAGTTTGAATTTGGGGAATTAGGGTTTTTGATTCATCTGTAATTTTCCCCAAATGCATAGGTTTGGTATAATCGACGAGAAGACGCGGAGAAAACCCTAAATTCTCACTTCAATGTTGAGCTCCTCTTCTTATTGTATCTCTCATCGTCCCCTAACTTTACCACCATTAACTAGAATTAGGGTTCCTAATCGTCCTGTTAGCTTATCGTTACTTAATCGTAGTTTTCGCGCTACCGATTCTCATTTCAGCGCTTCAAAATCTGTAAGTAATTATATAATGCTTGTTCTTTCAATTTAATTTGTAAAAAGTTAACTTTGTGTTAGAAATTGCAGTGATTATGTGATTTGGGGCTTTTTTTTTTTTTTTTTTTTTTAATGCAATTAGTTGTAGCTGGGTTAGAATTTGAAGTAATTGATTTTGTTTTTTGTGTTTTCGGATAATTGTAGAGATGGAAGATTTGTTGTTTTAGGCAAGAGGAGTTTCCAGCTGAGAACTTGAAACCTGAGGTGGTTGAAGATATTTTATCTGAGGAGTTGGTAAAGCCGAAGCTCGATTTTCAGACAGCTCTTAAACAGGATTGGAGGTCAGGTCTTCGAGAGGTAATTATGAGCTCAATTTATCTGCAAATGTTTAGTGAATTGATGCATCTGTTTAAGTTTATTACGTCGTAATTGGTATCAACTACACGAAGTGTGCAAGATGTAGTTTTCATGTCGAACTGTAATAGAATTAAATGATGGTCTTGGAAAATAGTTACTTTTATACAGGCTATAGATGTACTATGGCTATAAATCTTCATCTAGAGCTTTAAGAGTGCACTTTCAGTGGCCTCCCTTGAACTTACATGTGGTTTGCAGCAATCTAATGACAAAGCTTTCGTTCAAAACTCCTGAGGTTGTTGAATGAGATTTTAAAAGGTGAGGGTTTCCCATAATAAATATGTTCTCTCCCATGAATTGCAGGTAGAATAGAGGAATCGGAACCCACACTCGCTGTTGGCCTCTTTCAGTTGATGTTAGCTATAGACTTGTGATCTTTTTCCATCCACAAAAGTGATATAATTAAAGAGATTCTTAGAAAAAAAAATTAGATAAGTATAGATTTATGTAGAGGAATAACATTTAGTTGTCAGAAATCAGGGTTTGCCATCAGTTTCCTCAAGTTTCAAAGTATCAGAGATAGGAATCTTGACCTAGATGAGAGTTTTTAAGCATCAAAGCCTTGTACAAGTGGCTGCACAACTTGTACCTATATCATTCTAAATCTCACCCCTCCAATTAGATCCTACATTCTCCCTTTACGTATATATTTGCTATTGTACATGAGGCTAGCAGCTATGTAAAGGACCACAACATACAAGACTATATTTTTTCTGAGCACATCGAATATCAATCAAAAACCTTCACATTGAATTGTTAATGACAGGTGATTGAATCTTTAGAATCTATCTCTATATTTCGAAGGGACTATTTGTAAACTTATTAATAGGAACCTAAGCCAACTTGTATACCTTCTTTGTCTATAACTTAATAACTATAAACATACCTAAAACTCTAGAGTTCTAGACAGAAATCATTTAGTGTAGTTTCACTTTTGTACTTCTGCATTTCCTGATTGACATTATAGTAGAGATCTCGTTTATGGAGAGATTTTCATAGCACTTGATTATCTACTGCTTCTTTTTTAGTATATATATGCCAAACATCCCCCCCCCCTCTTTTTTTAAATGTCAAAGTGGGCTAAGTAAAAGAAAATTAAATTCCTACCCTAAAGGTTAAAGTGGTTTTTTTTTTTTTTTTTTTAAATTTTATCTTTTCCGTTTTAGTCATGTTCTTTCTATTGTTACCGTTTTGAGCAGAAAATAAAGGTCAAAGTGGGCTATTCCTGCCTTTAATATTTTAGGTAAAAAGAAAGAATGTTGATCTAACTGGGTTGTAGCTATATGAGTGGATTAGTTTTAGCATAATTTTCTTGGTTAAGACTGAATTAAGAACAATGATTGTTTGTATCGCTAAGTTGAACAAAGGCCAAATTGTCTTGTCATTTACGTCACAGATTTGCTTTATCATTTAATTGCATTGATGCTTATGTATTTCTGTTTAATGATGAAGGGATCGTTGAACGTAGATGAATTAATTAAATGTCAAACCTTAGCCACCCATTTTTTCAAGTCATACATGGATCACATTTTTTTGGGATTTTTTGGATGGACCTGGGTCTCTTTCGCAATATTTAAATTGAATATACTTTCTCCAAAAACTGTATCTATTTGTTTTAGGTGCAAGGTTTAAGGAAGTGCACTTATGTAGCAAAGATGAAGATAAAAGTAAGTGTAATTGGAGATAGTGGGTAATTATATTGAAGAGTGACGGGGGAAATAGATGTGAATGGAGGTAGTGATTTGGAAGGTACAAGGCACGACTGGTGAATTTGGAAATGGAGTAAATGCCTGACTAATAGGTTTTCTTGTTGAAAGGGTGAAAATCCATAAATGCTGGTTCTTAGGTTCACATCAAAGTAAGATCAAGGAGGATGGGAACTCCAGCTTACAATTAGGTTTTGGAGATTATAAGGTAGTCCGCAAAGTTGTTGAAAAGAAAGATTAACCTCTAGAGATATTTGTATGCCCATCCGATCAAGTTGAAGAATTGCATTTGTAAAATATGAAGGATGCTATTGTAATAATCCTAAAAATTTTATTGACATAGATACGACATGGTGAAATGAACCGTAAGATTATGTTGGGGTAAAGGAGTGAATATTGTGTAGTATAAGGATGCAATAGCAAAGGCAGCGACAGTGGCTAAGAATGCAGCCTGTATGATTAATTAGTACTTGAAGGACGGAGAAAGTAATACTAATAAGATGGTGTGAGAATAGGAATTGAAGTCCTAAGATCTTTGTTCAGTAAGTGTATTAAGAGTAAAGTAAAGCTGATAGGATCAGTGAACTTTTTATTAAGGGTCAAATTACAATGCAAAAGATTTATCACTCTGCTCATAAAATGCAAAGAGGTCAATGAATAGAATTGGAGTAGATAATAAAGGTGAAAAAGTATAGAACTCACTCGGATGGATTAGGATTGCCATTGAAGTGTGGAGATGTTGATATTTTGTTGATTTACTTAAGGTTTGAATAATAGGGGCAAGTCATTTGAATGTCAATTTATAATAACAGGGGATATTTGCATTGAGAGAGAAACTAATGAGGGATACTAAAAGGTTGTATAAAAGAGTAACAGAGCATGTACCTATGAAGTGGTGAAGGTTTTAAGGAATTACTTTAGGTTCGTACCCCAAAGGTCAACTACAGATTGAATCTTTCCTATAGGGAGCATCAACATATAGTGAAAAGTTTACACACAATTATCCATTTTGAGAAAGTTAATAGTACTCCGATACAGCTGCACCAAAAATAAAAAATAAAAAATAAAAATAAAAATAAAAAACCAGAAGAAGAAGAAACAGAGGAAGAGTTTATTTGATTTTCTTTCTTACTTTTTCTCTCCCTGGCTGTAAAAAGAAAAAGGAAAAAGATAGAGACTAAGAGAGCCACACATAAGTGAAAAACTCAAACAAAGTCCAAACAGAAAGAGGATAAATACTATTAATATAATTCTAAAAAAAAAAAAGAGTTATACCTTTGTCCAAAACTCGAACAGAATCCTCATCATGAAATTTTGGGATTGATGTATCAGACTCTTGGTTCCATATCTGTGTGGGATCCTCCTACCTAAGTTTGTGTAGCATAGGTTGGGATTGATGTATCAGACTCCCTAGAGCTGTTCAATGTTGCAAACTGTCTTGCTATGGTATGTTGCCATTTTGACCTGGAATCTAGAACTTCTAGTATTGATGATATTAGGCAATGTCATTAGTGGTCCCTGCTGACGAGAGGACCAAATTACCGGGGTACATGTTTTTGACTTTTTGAGTAAGAAAGAATTGTATAGAGACATTAATATTATGTATATAATATAACGTGGACCATGTGGTGGGTAAGGAGGGATAAATTGACTATTTCCTTTACCATTAAATTAAAGAAATAAAGCAAAAGGGAAAAAAAAAAAAAAAAAAAAAAAAAAAAAGGAACATGCCTAAAACGGAAAAGATAAAAAAAATAAAAAAAAAATAAATAATAGGGTTTGTTTTGAGAGGAAAAAAGAGAAGAGAGGGGGGGGGGGGAGTACTTTACTTTCTCTATTTTTGGGGTGATTTATATTTGATGAAAAATTAGTCATGTGGGGTTTTTCTAGATTCTTCTCGGTGTATAATTTCAAATATTTTATATTCTTTACTTCTTGATAATGGGAGGTATTAATGGTTGAAAATATGTATAGGCAAACTTGAAAAGAAAAATGTTTCTTTTAAAAAACGATGGACGTATATAAAATTTACTTGTGAGTTTAGACTTTTTCTACTTGGGAATTGGGATGCAAGGTGTAATCAGGATTATGTGAAAATGTAATATTTTACTATTCTTCCAAGGTGTTTAAAGTCTTATTAATGGCATAAAAATGCTTCAGGCTGCTGCTTCTGTGTTTAGAGCAATCGGGGACCGCTGGAATGTACCATGGACAGGAGAAACCATATTGCAAGTAAGTTCATTTCAAATAATATATCATTATTAATGATTGCAAGTAAGTTCTGCTTACCTAGAAGCCAAAGATGTTTTGTGTGTGTGCGTTATTTAGAAGGGTGGGGGGGGGGGGGGTGGGGTCAGTGTCCCAGTTGATGTGCTGGTGATTTTGGCACAGTTATACCAGCTCTGGAGACCTTTTAGCTTCCATTTTAGTGTTCATTCCAGTTTAGCAATCTTTTCCGTATCTTACTGAAAGAAAGGTCCTCTGCGGTCTGTGGTTTCAGCTTCATTGTTACACAATGTATACACTGGATCACATTTCAGATCAAACATTATCATGATTCAGACCAAACATTTTTGCATTATGTTGATTACAGTATACAGTTGTGGAGAAAATGACACAACAGAATTTGCACATATGGTTACACCATATAGCAAACGAGACTTCTCCATGATATATTGTCAAGAGACCTGCATCTCTATTGTCTTCAATGCCTATCTCTAATCTTGCATCACCTGCATGTGCTCTCAAGCCCCATGCCCCCATCGCTGTAGGAACAGCCATCTCCCATATGCTGTTACATGTCTAAACACTAAACTGTTTATACATGCTGTCTGTTGACATTTTTTTGATAATTAATGTGTCAATCATGGTTGGAAAACCTTATTTCAAGAACTTTGCAAGGTTCATCTGTCATATTTATCATTGTTTTGTTCCAATGTATGTTCCAGACATGTGAAAATGTCTTTAGCTGGAGTAATCTACTCACTGCAGACAGTAGCCCTCAGTCTTTGCAACTCTGAAATTATGTGATCACATGCAAACAGCTCTTTGGATTAACTATCTTCTTTGTTTATCCAGGTTATGCTATTATGGATTGCCTCATTTTGGTTTGTGGGTTCTTGGATGATGCCATTTGCAGCACACATAGCTGGCTTCAGTAAGGAGTCTTTGACATATAGGGGACAAGCATTTTACAGCCTTTTGACCGATGTGACAGAAGGCCTAGCAGGGATTGCCATCCTTCATCGATGCCTGTCACGTTTTCGTCCACTTCCTCCGGGATGGTTTAAATTTAGCCTGAAAGGGAACTGGCATTTTGATGTTGCCCTTGGATGCCTCATGTTTCCCCTGGTTAATCGTCTCTCTCAATTCAATCTTGACATACTACCTTTATTGCCATCAACACCTGGCACTCTCTCAAGCGTTGAGCAGTCTATCTTAGCACGGGATCCAGTTGCAATGGGATTGTATGTTGTGGTTGTTTCTGTGTGTGCTCCCATTTGGGAGGAGATAGTCTTCCGGGGTTTCCTTCTACCCTCCTTGACGAAGTACATGCCTGTGTGGTGCTCTATTTTGGTAAGCTCAGTTGTCTTTGCTCTAGCACATTTCAATGTACAGAGGATGCTTCCGCTTATTTTTCTGGGGGTTGTCATGGGTGCTCTCTTTGCTCGAACGAGGAACCTTATGCCCTCCATGTTGTTGCACAGTCTGTGGAATGCATTTGTATTCTTAGATCTAATGAAGTAATACCTTAAAACTTCACCTGATATATAACCCAATAATTCATTGGCATTGCTTCAATTGAAGCATTACGGTCTGCAAAGTTGCTCAACCATTTGGTTTTCACCATTCAAGCAAAATCATCGCATAGATTAATGTATTGGATTTTAATTGAATTACAGAACTTGCAAGCATTAATGAATTTGGTGATCTTAATGTATAAATTTTTACACCTGCAATCCTAACCTAGTGAGAGCTGAATGGTAGAGCTCTCACTTTGCAGCCAAGAGGTTGTGGATTCGACCTCTCCTAACCAATCATTGGAGTGCTAGTGTGGCTTCCAATCAGGTAATTTACTCAATTACCAACCTTAGTCTATGGCCGGTTATTCTGTGTTGAAACTTGGGAATTTGGATCCCCTTCCCAACTTTACAGGAGTTGTGCTGTCCTTCAAGGCCAGTAAATTACTTAATAACAGTTTCCGATTAAATTCTGTTCAGAGGGTGGCACGCCTGTGTTTCATTCCCTTTGATCTTAAAGGTGATGAATAATTCTGTTCAGAGGGTGGCACGCCTGTGTTTCATTCCCTTTGATCTTAAAGGTGATGAGTTGTAACTTGTAAGCTCCTTAAAAGGATCCAATTTGGTAAAATTTTGAGATTTTTGTTACTATTATCCAATTCTATAACGTTTGGAAAAGTTTCCACAAAATGGATGAGTCTAGTCTTGTACCTAAAGAAAGTATGAAGTATGGAGTGTAATTCGGTGTTGTAATACTCTAGGGTGTACGGAGTCCATCGAGCCCATTCATCCCTGTATGTTGGTTCTTCTCCTATCCTGGGGAAAACGGGGATAATAACAACCGATCTCGTGTTTGAGAAGGTGGTTGATGCACAAACTATCCTCGATCCTACGTTACAGTCTAACTTTATAGACTTGCACATGGAAAGAAATCAAACTGAATTCCTCTAATTTTTATATGTCAATATAATATTTGCAAACATTTGATCGATGGTGGAGCAACATACGTAAGAACAAAGGGTACACAAGAATCAAGACAATAATTTTCCCAAACTTGCTTTACTCCAAAAGGTCTAGTGAGGTAGTGGGCTACAATAAATACTACGGAGTAGTAAGTAAATAGCATCACAAACGCAAGAAAATCTTTAAAAATTAAAAATAATTAAACTAAAAAAAAAATAAAACGCAAGAAACAAAATTTCATCAAATTAAAGAAATGGAACTAAAAAAGTAATAACTGTAACCTTTGAGTAGAAGTGTGAAGCTGTGATTTTGAGGTCTGGCATTTCAGGTGCTAAGTTTTCCACATCAAAGAGTAGAGAGAGGGGGGCATCATGTAATTGGAGTTCGAAAAGGGGTTGTATAATGCACCTTAATTAGATTGCCACCAACTGAGGAGAATCAATGCCAGTTTTCATGTCAAAGAACTATGAGTAGTACTATCTTACAGTTTAAATCAAAATGTTCAAACTCTAATTCAATTCATCGACAAATATAACAGTCATAGTGCAACAGCTCACAACTCTAATTTAGCAAACAATACTTGACTTATGAGATGCAAGTATGTGATACAAGAGCAAAAACAACTAAGGTCTCCCAGTGAAGGGAATCACTCTATTATGACTTCAATTTCATCACCACCCTTCAGTCGTTCTTCCTCCACTGTCTTTGAACCCATGAGTCTGCGCCCCTTAAACATGAAAGCAGCTTCATTTTGCACTGATAAAATCTTACAATATCTGTCGAACACCTTGGACAATAGTGAAGTTTGTCTTATGTTGAAGACATAGTCCCTGTGATTCGGATTCACCACTTTAAGAGAAATAAATGATGGTTCAACTATGCTTAAGGAGGAACCTGAAGGATGTAGAAAAATAAACAAAAATAGTTACAACTGTCATCAGACTCATCACAATAACTAGCTCGAAGCTCTTGTTGATAGATATAAGGCAAGTGCAAAATGAAATCCCAGAAATGAATAATGGTTTAAACCATGATTGCCCGAAATATGTCTGATGCAAGTATATATATATACGCACTGGCTGTTTATCGACAGACAAATTTTGAGCTCCAAAACTTGAATAGATTCTACAGCAGGGCATGGATATTAGATGTTCACACAGACTGTGTCTGAAAGATGATCATGAAGTTAAAAGATGCAAAACTATACAACTAGCTGAGTACTGAAGCAATATTATTGACTTAAACAAAAGATGAAACTTACTGCTCTCATCAAAATCAAAGGCATCAATAATGTCACCATCCTCCAATTCATGATTATCAGCCGTATCTTTCTCAGTCAACCGACACCAATCATAAACAAAACACAAGGAACCAACATCATCAGAGAAGCTACACATAAGCTGAGGCAGTAATGGTGCAGCACGTCTCACTCTAATAAATGTGTCTCTCTCCTTGGGCACACGGATACACAGAGTTACATAATGTTCAGCACAACGTCCATTACCACCTTAAATCCCAACAATTTGGAGGAGCCAGATAAGTACAAGAGAATCAAGGTAACAGCATATGGAAGAAAAGTAAAGAATAATATACAAATAGAGGAAATCATATACTCCGTAGCTATTTTTGTGAGGCTAAGCCTCACGAAAGTGGAAGCTCAATCTCAGCTTTTCCAATTACCTGCAATTTGTTTTTTGGCCTGATTCCTGTCACTCCTCAACTAGCTAGTGAGGAGCACTCAAAGTGAGCGAGTATGTTGATGGAAATCATGTCTTGGATGATTGTGGCTCTTGTACTACGTACTACTATAGTATGTACAGGAAGAAATATAAGATTGAAGAGCCAAAACCAGTTATAATAAGTTAATAGTACTCTTATACTAAAAATGAAAGTGTAACTAAGAAAACGTAAAGTGAGAGATAATTGCAGAGATAAAACAGAGTAGCCAGTACCACATATTAAAGGAACTTAGGAAACAATAACAATGTCACCATTTTGAGTGCTTAATACACAAGATACTCTGTTCATCCCAAAACAATAGCCACTTTGTACTTGTAAAGTCATAACTTGTTTTAAGACAGTTAATTTTCTAAACATGGTATTAATTGCAAAACTCTCCCATTAGATTCAACTCAAACTCACTGTATTAGTTTCTTATGTGTTAAATGCTTACACGTATCTATAATAACAGCGGTGAAAGTTCACAGATGGTATAACAATCAGGCATGTCAACATCCAACAATGATAACCTGGTGAACGAAACTCAGCGTGTCAACCTGAAAACCCATCCAGCAATGATGACTTCCGCTTCTAGCATCAATGCCATCGCAATCATATCTGGTGGTGGCTTGGTGAGTGATCGAAAGTCATCAACTTATGATCCTATCTAAAGTACTCGTATCATCATTCTTCAAAAAAAAAAAAGTACTCGTATCATCAAACAATAATTTTTCTCCCCTCTTCAAGTTTAAACTGTCTCCATAATCCTCTCCAAATATCAAACATTGCCTTTCCTAGTTGCTGACAAACGTTTGATACATTTCTTATGAACCAACTACTAAAATTGCAATATGGAAGAGGTATGCACCAAAGGTTAAATTTCGACCCAAACTTATGTCAATATACCGCATACTTAGTTTTGTAAGTCATAATGCCATGCTTTTGCAAGTTCCTATTAGATAGAAAAGTAGATTTTCTAAGATGGGGCAATAGAAGAGAGGTAAAAGAAGTTGAAAATAAAGAAAATTGACACAAAAAAAAAATACAGTATATCTTGATAAATTACTACTAATACCTCGAATTTAAGTTGTTTATAGTCTTTATACTTACGCCAAAATGGTGGTGATGAGAATTTCTTCCAAACTATCCATTTCCTCCCTTTACCACCCTTTCAACTTTCAAGTGTAAATGGAAAAGACATGAAGAATGCTAAGTGACAAATTAGCATTACCAAAGACAGTGGAATGAGATTTTTCCAGCAAATTCACTCAAAAGATTCATTCATATCACCACCATTTATCTCCTACCAAGGGAGCATTAAAGTTTTAGAATTCTAGGGTTAAAGTTAGAAGTTTTCAAATTTTAAAACATAAAATTATTCAAAAAAAAAAATACACAGATACCCAATTCAATTCATAGAGAGTATAATTCAATTCATTTATATATATATTTTTTGTCATTATTGTGCTGTGTTCTGTTTTCATCTCTTCAATTCATTTAAAAAATCAAAACTAACATAATAAAATCAAGATACTCACAAATTTATGAAAACCCCAGAAAACATTAGAAACGTAATTAGCTACAATTTTCATAAATAACCAAGAAAATACAAAAGGAAAGAAAGAAAGAAGAAACTTACATAGAAAATGATAAGCATAAATGAGGTCAGAAGAAAGCATGGAAAGTTGAAGAGGAGTATCAGTATCTCGCAATTTAGCACCTTTGAATTCGAAACGAGTAGTGTGGAAATCTGCACCAATTTTATCACAGTAACGAATCATCAACCATCTAAGTGCAATATCATTCTCAATTTTGAAGTGAATTACCCCAAATTTTCCCTCTTTCTCCTTGTCTTCATCATCATCAACCCACTTCACTCTAAGGGTTATAATCTTGCTTTCTTCTTCTTCTTTTGCCCTGAAAGATGCGCCTGATTCTGCTGATGTTGCCCCCATTTTTAATCTTTCTCCCAAAACCTTTCAACTTCCAAAACTCATTGATGTAATATACGAAGTATGTTCACAGATTACTGAGTTACTGTCTTACTGACCTATGTATACAAGATTGAGTCTTTGGCCCAACTTGTGCCACTTTAAGTCCTTGTGCAAACCCAGGGCTAATTTGACTAGGTTGAGGTCCACCCATATGGGTCTAGTGAGCCCTAATCTTTGAATAAAAAACCAAAAAAAAAAAGTGTATATTAGAGTGGGGAAATTCTTCCAAATCAAAAGAAAATGATGGATTTGACGTGTTAATTAGCTTTGTGCATCTGAAATGTTTTGGGCATATATCATACGGGCTTGATCATGGATATGCTAATGGTTTGGTTCTATAATCATAGACTTAGGCATGTGGCATGCACACATTTAATTAATAAAATTAACTTTAATTTGCCGATTAATTTATTATTAATGGAGAATTCTGGGTTCTCGTCCTGTTCTAGCTTATATTTTTCCTTAGTACTCTACTTTGCTATTTTGTATTGTAATTTATTTAACAGTCTTGGCTCGATAATCTATGTGATTTGAACCTTGATTTCGGGGAATTAGCGTGAGGATAGGGTAGTGGGTCTGGGTTTTCAAGGCAGGGCGAGGTATTTGGGGTGGTGGGTCTAGGGTTACGAGTGGTGGGGGTAGGTTTTCAAAGTGGTGTGGGTAAATTTGGGGAAAAGGAGAAGAGCGATTTAGGTGGCTGTGTGGGTTTTTGGTTGGTGGGCTTGGATCTGGAGAAGGGGTGGATTTAGGTGGTGAAGGTGGTCGGGTTTTCGACTTTTCGTGATTGGTGGAGGTGGCTGCGTTTTGTGGCTGGGTAGGTGGGTTTTCCTGGGCAGTGAAGTTGGTTTCGGGTGAAGGGGTGGATTCAGGCGGTGGAATTCGCTAGGTTTTTGGGGTGGTTGTGGCAGTTGTGCGTACTGTGGGATTAACGGCAGTGGTTGGGTCTGTGATGGTAGTGTTGTAATTTGGGGGGGTCATTAAAAGTCACGTGCGCTAAGTCAACGCAGGAGTTTATGGTCAATGCCGAAATGTTGAGTCATGTGGTCATTGACAACAAAAATTTAAATTTGGGTGGTCTTTGGCAACAAATTTTTAAGTGGGTGGTTTTAGACAAAAAAAGTGTATTTAGTGGGTGGTTTTAGACAAAATTTCCTTTATTTAAAAGTCTTGGCTCGATAAGATTGCGCACACCTATTCTAATGAATTTCCAAACAATCAATTACAGCCTTCAAATTTATTTGAAAGGGCCCTAATTTCGTCACTATATCAATATGCTCTGGTGTTAACATGAAAAACCATTGTGTTTGAGTGTTTGACTAGATGAAAGCAGAATGTACAACAATCAAGCACCATCTTCAGAAGCCCTTTTATGAATGGATGCTAATTGCTATGACATCCCCAATTTAAAGTTCAATTAAACATGCACCTTTAAACAACACTACCTAGGAAACGATCGATGTACATCGATCAAATAAATGGAATTACTTACGAGTTACAAACACACTATTCTAGTTATGAGTACATAATTTATTTTTATTTTTTGACGAGGAAGGAGTACATAATATTGTTATGCCACCAGATCAAGCATTAAAGCTATTAATTGTATTATTAGCCGCCATGAATGAAGTCACAACAACATAAGACTTCACTCACGCAACCGCCATCGTCATAATTACCATAGTTTGACATACAAGTATCCCTACATTTTGCATCAGTACAACCTTCCACTGTAAATTAGTGTACTGCACATCTATGTTATCGGATGAAAAAACTGCACTAGGAAAAAAATGTAATTAATAATATAGGAAAGAATGTATAAGAAAAAGTTTCACATATTTAACTTATCTCAAAGTAAGTTAAAAAAAAAAAAAAAAAGTAGATAATTATAATTTATTACACATGTGTATGATTATGGATGTTTTGTCCATCTAAATTATCATCAATAATTTCTTAGATGCCACAACAAAATTATACTAAGTAATTACCATTAGGGAGCAAAAACAATGACAGTATGAAGAATAAAGGAAGAAACCCTTTAGCAGCCATGATGATAATGGAGATATAAACAAACACTTTTTGACTTTCTTAATGGTAAAAATTCAGTTTAATTTGTAGAGTAATAACCTAAATAATTTAGTTTATATAGGTAAATGCCCACGAACCTTGATTTGAACTTTAAGTTATATTAATATGGTATAAAATTATTCTATGTGATTTGTTGCAGCATTTGACCTCAAATCACATATGATTCACTTCCTTTATATATATAGGTTTTTCTAACTTGTGCGTGTACCTATGATCCTAGCTATATATGGACATATCGTCACATATGTTATCGTTAGAGTATATAATTTACACCATTATTTTAGGAATGAGAATATTTTAAACTATATATCTTGTATAGTCTCTTGAAATTGTATACTTCCTGTCAAAATAAAAAGTAAAAAAAGAAATTGTATACTTGTAGACTTGTAGTTGTATCAAATTATTAATATGGCATCAGCAGGCACCTCAAGGGAAATTTGGAAAATAAAATCTGCTGCCTAATTTCTTTGATTGCTTAAACACTGATTAGGCAAGTTTGTAGCAAAAATTTTGAAACTTAAACAAGGAAAATATTGCGAGTGAAAATAAATATAACCTACCTCATTTAACTTGAAAATAATTATTGTAATCAACTATTTATAATATGGACATGCAACCTACTTTATTTAGCTTAATTGAAGATATTGTTTGCTATTAAAATATTAAATTAGTCTTCTTCTTTTTTTTTCCCATATACATAGGCTACGTAGTTTTAGGGGGGTTTGTTCATTTATTTTTCCTTAAAGGTACGTACTTAAGCCTGATTTGGATTAGGTTGAGCCAGTGCGGTAAATTAAGGATTAATTAAACTTGATTGGATCTATTCAGCTCTTTATAAGACTACTATATCATTAGTTAAAAATTTAAAACTACTAGATGAAACTCGTGCGATGCACTATTTGTTTGTATTTTTCAAATAATATATTTTACTAAATATATATTTATCTAATAAACTTTGTGATATTCGCTTGCTTACTGCTTGAATTATTTATTATAAAATAAATTATTAAATTTTTTTTCTTCTCATATTTAGATAAAATTCGTAATATAAATAGATAATATTTTATTTTACAAAGTTTCGTATGTGGTGGTCACACCGCGTGGTCAGGATTACTTGGTCATGAGTTACTTGGTTGATCAAGGGTTACTCAATCGATCAGGGGTTATTTGGTCAGTGTTTGGGTGTGTCTCATCCGGCCACACGATATGACCAGCCACACAAAAAACGCGCTGATTTTATTTTTATAATTAATATAAAATTTTTGATCTAAAATAAATTGCAATTCTTTTTTTCGTTGGCTAAAATATAACATTTTCCTATGTGACGCTCTAAAATTAATCTTACATGGCATAATCCTATTGTAACTTTTTAAAATTATTAATCCTAAGTGGCGCTCTAATAATTTTTTATTATAATTTTAAAACGCTACAATAGGATTATGCTACGTAAGATTAGAGCTCACTTAGGACTAATCTTACGTGGCGTTTTTTTATTATAATCCTACATAGCGCTTTAAAAAAACTAATCTTACGTGTAATTTGATTGTAGCGTTTTAAAAATATTAATCCTAAGTGGAGCTCTAATAATTTTTTAAAAAATAAAATCCTAGGTGGCGCTCTAAAAACTCAGGAAAAAACTCTCCTTTATATATATACTAGTTTTGTGCCCGGGCGATGCCCAGATGGTTGATAAAACATTAAGATAATATTTTTACTTGAATATTAAATACGGCTAAATAATTCGTTTTGATAATGTCGGATATTTAGACATACGATATCATATGGCTTATATTTATATAATAGTGTACTTTTTGTAGTTTATTTTTAAATAGATATCTATGTTATTATTTGAAAGGAATGGTGTCCTTCGAACAAGTGTATTATTCCGATAGAGGGTTCGGAATTAATTAGAAAGTTAATTATTCAGTGAGGTCAAGTAATCGGAATGCCTAGCTGGAGGCCGCTTCCGATCAGTAATATTAATGAATAATTAATATTACAGCTTAATCTTGACTGAACCCTTTGGGTCACACCCAATCGTGTAACCGAACCAAAACGATGAATTAATTCGAAGGATTAAATGAGTCAATAGAGTATTTACGAACAAAAGGCGTCAGATCCCGAGCTTAAAGCATTAAAGCGTTGAAATCGAGCGTCGTAAGTCGAGTCGAATTTAGTAAACGACGAGACGGAAAAAACAGCCAAACGACAAGTCATAACATATAGCCCTAGCCTCGGAATGGCCGAGCCAACCGAGGGCTAGGGCAGTATGGCTAGCAAGGCTACAACATGCTGTGCTAGCTAACATCGCATGCTAGCATCGCTAGCTAGCTGGCGCAGCAAGGCCAACATCGCTGGCGCGCATGTTAGCACCAGCCCCGCACCCTCGCAAGAAAGCCCGCAGCAATTGTTAGTTGCCAACATCGCTGGCGCGCATGCTAGCACCAGCCCCGCACCCTCGCAAGAAAGCCCGCAGCAATTGTTAGTTGCCAACATCGCTGGCGCGCATGCTAGCACCAGCCCCGCACCCTCGCAAGAAAGCCCGCAGCAATTGTTAGTTGGGCCTTGCGCGAGGAAGCAACACAACAGCAGCAGCTCCCAAGTGTGCTTGCGGTAGATGCCAAGCACGCCTAGCAGCAGCAGCCCGCATGCGTGCGTGGCATGCTTGCTGGGGTGCACGCACACACGACCAGCCAGCAAACCCAGCCTAGGGGTCAAGCCGCCAGCGAGGCAGCCTTGGCGCCCAAGGCAGGCCACGCTAGCTGACGTGTTGCGAGTGGACGTGTATGTGGAGTGGTTTTGTGGGTTTGCTTGGGGAGCAAGGAGATGGTGGTCCTCCCCTTGTGGTCCTCACCTAACCCCTTACTCTCCTCTTGCCACTTGTTGTTTGGTGATTCATTTGGCTTTTAATTTCATTTTAGAATTAAATTAAATTATATTTTGCCTTTTTACCAACTCTCCCACATTGATGGGAGATGGGATTTCGAGGGCTCCTTTCCTTATAAATACCAATCATTTGGCATTGGGAAAGAGCACTTGAGTTGGTGAACTTGAAGGGATCTCCAAAGAGAGAAAACCTTTGTTCTAATACTCTAAGTAATTTTTGGTCTAGCCCCAACTAAGCTTCAGGGTAGGGGCTGGGTCGGTTCGGTAGCAAGGGTGTTAGCCGTTGGAGGTTCGTGCGTTAGAGTAAAGCACGCTACAAGGGTAATGATTCTTTCTCTCTCTTCTTGTTAATCATGTGATTAAGGTTTTAATACATGCTTAGTTACTTTAATTT